CCGATACGGACGGGCGGGCGGGCGGGCCGACGGGGTTGACAGACAAGACGAAGGGATACCGCCGCGCTTGCTTCGGCGAGGGACAGAGGCTAGGGCCCGTCGGACCCTCGCTTCTCTCTGCTGGCCTCGTCTTTGCCGTCACCCCGCCAGCGCAACCTCTGCGCTTCGCACGACTCTCCTCGACCCTGCTCTCCCTTTTGCCCGCCGCCTGCTCTGGCAGCTAGCCTGTTACATACCACCCTGACGCAGCGCCGGATTTTAGAGCCTCTTTTCGCGGCAGCCTATCCGGTCTCACGCTCTAGCCTGACTCTGGCGCTTCCGCCTGGCCGTCAGGAGCCTATTTCGGGAAGAGTTTCCGGCCCATCACATGTCTCGACGCCGTCGCCGCCGCCGCCGCGCCCGACGCCGTACAGGCAGATGCACAGTAGTGCCGTACAGGTGTGTACGCAGCTGACTTGCCCTTTGGCTGCTTTTGCCGCTGCCGACGCCTCCACGTTGTCACGCACGCAAACGAGACCTACGGATGAAAGGGACGTACGTACGCTACTTCAGAGTAGGCTGACCCGGGTCGACGTCGACGGCGGCAGATCGCCGCCCTGCTGTGCCTAGCCCAGCCTCTGGCTTTGTTCGCCCTTTCACCATGGGCCGCTCGCTCGGGCACCCTCCGAGCGGCGTACCATGTCGGTGGCTCCTCGCCCAGAGCACGGCGCAGGGTTGGCCTGCCTGCAGCCCAGAAAAGACAAAGGTCACGTACAGAGTAAGTACAATGCGTTCGCCGGGCGCTCGCTCCTGATGAGGTGCAGCTGCTGGCCGATGCACGGCAGAGAAGCGCAAGTGGACGGTCAGGTACGGTGTGCACGACCGGCTACTGGCGCACCGATCGGCCTCGCCGACGCTTCGATGCGTCTCTCCGCTGCGCTGCGGCGGCGGAGTACCGCCACGTTGCCAGCCAGCCAGCGATTAGAGGTGGCGCGGCGTGGACAGCGCTGCGTTGCCAGCAGGCTACTCGGATGCACCGGTGTGCGGGCGAGGGATCACCTGCGCTGCGTGCAGCAGCCGTAAATGGAGCCATGGACCCGTGGACCCATGATGGACCCGCCGAGGACTCGCCCAAGCACGCACGCACGCCCCGTTCGCCCCGGCGCTCCGGGTTGCTCCGACACCAGGTGTCCGACGAGGCCGAGGACTGGCCTCGATATTGCGCGTTGCTGGGAGGAGCTTCATCCTGGAGGCATTCGAAGGCGTAGGGTCGGTCCGACGTCGGCGAGGCCGGTGGGGCCATCGGCATCGGCGTCGGGATCGGCGCGGCTCCGCAGTGTGCGTAGCGTTGCTTCAGCCTCTACCGCGATCTGGATTCGGGAGCCTAGCCGGCTGAGCCTGGTCTTGACACTAGTACGTTACTCTGCAAACCAAGTTAGCAAGCCAAGCGAAGCCGACAGGGCGGAGGGCAAAACAAGGGGGATGGGGGATCGGGACGGTGGGTCAAGGAGGTCACAGAACGGGCAAACGAAGCCGGACCCCCTGCGTGACGCTCGTCCTCCTGGCAGGCACTGTATGTACGCACAGCACGAGGCTAGGGTGTCGGCTGCGGTGTGCCGGAACTTCTCCGTGGATCTCACACGACGGCGGTGAGATCGGCGGCCGTCGTCGCCTCGAGCTCTCCGCGCCGGCCGTCCAGCCGACAGCACCTACCGCTCGTCCAGGATCGGGCTAGGCGAGCTGGGTCAGACAGCTGGCAGATGTCGAGGTCGTTGTCCGTCGGACCGACCGACCCACCGACCCTGGGCGACAGGCATGCACACCCTACCCCGCCCGGGTGTCGACCCTCCTCCCTCGCCCAGATTTCCGTCGCGTCTCCTGTCGTGAATTTTTATTTTATTTTTATTTTCGTGTCGGGCGGGCGGGGGGCGCGCCACCCAACCGGTGTCAGCGCGCCCGTCGCGGCGGACGACCGTCAGCGGCTTGGCCAGATGGGCGCGCGTCGGCCTGTCCGGGAGCAGGCCGGGCAGCAGGCTAGAAGGCAGGGCGGCCGGACGATCCACGAAGCCGACCCAGGCTCGTCTCTGTCTTCGATTTGCATCCGTTTGTGGCCTTGACCGTACGTCGTCTTCTTTCTCCTGCATGCCTTGCCTTGCCTCGCCTTCCTGCTTTGCTCCGCTCGCCCGTCCGCCCGGCTGCCCGCTCGTTGTTGGAACCATCAAGCAGATCGATCCTTTGGCCCTTGGACACCGCGCCCCGCCCCGCTTCTTCTCTCGCCCTAGCCTTGACTCTTGCTCGTCTGCTGTCGGTTTCCCTGCCTGCTGGCACCACGTCCGGGGCCCGGGCCTCGTCCACCACCAAGCGCCCCGCCGGCGGACGTACGTTGCTCGATCTATTGGCGCAGGGGCAAGAGGGCATGTCAGCCAAGGCCCGCTTCCGGGCGCAGCCCAACTCAGCCCGGGCCAATGGCCCCGCTAAATCTTGCCCGGATGATTGTCGAGCGGGAATCCAGCCAGAGCAGCCTCGAGCTCGCTCGTCGCGATCCTGGATGCACGCAGGCGGCCCAAACGGCGGCGGGCCCGCGGCCCCAGCGCAGACTTCATTCGCCTGCTCGGCCCGTCCGTTGGCCCTCTCGTCCTTCCGCAGCCTAGCCTGACCCGCCTCTACCGGCCTAGCCTGTGCCAGCAGCGGCAGTACCGGAGAACAGCAGCATGCCAGCATGGTGCGGGCCGGCTAGGCGGCGTCAGGCCAGATCACAGGTGGGCGAGTTGCTTTCGCCCTTTTCCCATGTCCGGCTCTTGCTTGACACGACGTCGACGAGCAGGCAGGCGCGCGCTGCCCGCTGTGTACCGCCGTGGGCACGCAGGCAAAATGCGGTCCAGGAAACAAGGCAGGCAGGCAGGCAGGCAGGCAGGCAGGGCTGGCCTCGCATCCCGCCCGCTCTGGTTGAACACCCGGTAGCTACAACTTCTAGCGCGGAAACGGCATCGGCTCACGGCGTCAAGGGACCGTCAGACCGACGCCGGAGGCCCGGCTAGGAGGGCGAAATAAATCCAAAGGACTCCCTCGAGGGAGGGGACCCGGGCCCGGGTCGGCTGTCCGGCGAGATAGCGGTGCGGTGGGTGCGCTCGCGGTTGCGGGTGCGGCGTGGCGCGGCGTGGCGCGGCGAGGTGTGGGTGCATCCCAGGCTGCCTTTGCTGGCTGACCCGTCTGGTCTCGTCTCGTCTCGTCTCGTCTCGCCTCGTCTCCCGCTGCCACCCATCGTCGCTCCCGTCGTCTTCCTGTAGCCTCCGCCCCGTCGCCGCCCTCTTCTCCTCCATCCGCCGCCCACGGATCGCGCATTCTCTCCGACCCCTCCTCGCTCCGTTCCGCGCCCTGGACATCGAGCGAGCGAGCGAGCGACCAACCAACCGACCGACCGACCGACCGACCGACCGACCGAACGTCCGCCCGAACGTCCGCCCTCTGACCCACTTCGACCGAGCTTGGACCTGGCAGACGAGCCTCGCCCTTGCCCGCTCGCTCGCTCTTCGACACCTTGCTTGGCTCCCGCCTCCATTGTTCCCGCTGTACGGTATCACCTGCCACCGACCCGTTCCAGGTGTGCTGCCCGTCCCCTCGCCTCCTTCTGCCTCTCTGCTCGCTCGTCCGTCTTGTTACCGCAGAACCGGCCCACCCGCCTTTCCGATTGGCCTGCATTGGGCTCCCAGCTACCGGTAGCTGCCTGCCTACCTTCCTTCCTACCTACCTACCTACCCGGCTGCCCTGCCCGCCTTTCCATTCCTTTGTGCTCTGGCACTGCACCACCGCCGGCCGACCCCGGTAGTCTCGCCCTTTGGACCCGGCCCCCCTCTGCCCTGCCCCTCCCCCTTCAGCCGCGCTTTTGTCTCTCCCATACCGACGCACGCTGCTGCTGCTCCTGCTGCTGCCGTGTTTGCTTGCGGCTGCTTTGGTTCTGCCAGCTCTTCTGCTCTACGCCTCTCATCCGCCCACTGCTGGGCGGCCCTTGGCAGGCCCACCTACCTTGGCTCCCATTGTCAGATGGCGCTCGAGATCCCAGCACAATCCAGCAACCCATCCTCTTGCCTCAAAAGATACCGCTCTATCGAACCCCATTCTTCCCTGGGCCACCGCCGTTCCTGCCCAGTCGACTTGCACCCCACCGCCATCCACGCCGATAGCCCCTCTGCCCCCCGACAATGTCGCCTTTGGCCTGCCAGCGCATCTCGTCGCACAGCTTTGCCTAAAACCAGACCAACCAAACCACCTTGCATCGCCCATTGCCCTCGTTCTCTACCTCGACCTCTGCCCCGACCTCGACGCTCTGTGCCAGCTCACAAAGAGGCCACCTACAAAAGCCTCAAAAGCCTCGTTACGGAAGCGTCCACACCGAAGCCTCGCCGCTCTTTGTCCGGCCACACCCTTTCACCGCTCGTCGTCGCGGCACTGCCATCACCCGATCGGCTCTCCTATCGACGCCGCCGCCGTCGGTCCTGCCCCTGCACCTGCGGTTGCTACAGCTGCTTCGGCCGCCACGGCTGCTACCGCTCCGGCTGCATTACGGCCACCGCTCATTCGCTCCGTCGCGCCGCTCCCGCCTACTCTCGCGTCGACAGTATTCCGGCGTCCCTTTGGCGGACGGACAAGCGCGGCAGCCCAGCCGCATCCACCTCTGCATCGCCGGCACCGCTGCCGCACACTCGGAGGCTGCGCGAGCCATCCGACGGCCCGAGCTCAGCGCGGAGCCGCGGCACAGAACCGCGCTCGGTCGCGTCTCGAGATCGTCAGCCGGACCCGGCATCCTCGGCCAGCTCGCCCTGGCGCTTGATTCGGCTGCATCGGCCTCGAGGTGCTCGTAGGGCCATCGATCTTATCCGACGTCGTCTGTGGCGATCACCGACCGACGACATCGCGCCGCGGCTATCTCCTGTCCCTGCCGCCTGCAACCGCAGCAGCGACGACGACGACGACGACGACGACGACGACGACTGGAGATCGCTACCCTCGTCCAAGTATCTGATATGGAAGTGCTGCCCTCGATCAACTGGAGGTGAGCATCGCCGAATACGAGCCCGTCGACGTACGACGCGACGATGCGGGTCGGCAGCCACGTCGGCGCCGCGCCGCATTGCCATATCGACACGCCCGGCAGGGGTGCAGGCATCGACAGGGTCCACGACCTCCCCTCGCGTGCCGGACCAGCAGCCCCTTGGCTTGGCATCGCTAAGAACGACGTCCGCTAACCCGCTTTGCTCTGCCACCCGTCTTGTCGTGCACTCTGCCTCGTGCTCTGTCGGACTCCCGCCGGTGCCTCGTCGTGCTCCTCCTCCTTTTCGCTGCGCCTCGATCGTGACGCGTCCAGTTCCAACGGCGCATCCTTTGATCCGGCTTCCGGTGAGTCGAGGGCACCTGACCCTCTCCTCCATCTCTTTGACAGGCTCGGTCTCGATTGCGGCCCATTCCGTCCCCAAGACACCCTACATGGATGAAAGGCCAGGCCAGCTGACGCCCGAGGAGCTCCCTCGCTATTGCTTTTCCTCCTCAACCCCCTCGTCGAAACAGCCGCCTGCTATCCGCCGGCCACCGCCTTTGCCCATTTCGGCGGCGATCGGCAGCCGAGAGCCGTTCCAGGACACTCTGCGTCCGGCAACGCTCTGCCGCGGGTGCCGCTGCCTAGTATGAGCGGTCCCGGCCATGGCCACTACTCCAACTACGACCAGATCCCGGGGGACCGGCCCCTGCTCCCCTCGACCCGGGATGAGCTCGGCTCGATGCCGCCGCTCGATGCTCACGGCGGCTACCTGGGCCGTCCGGGCTACCTGCACCGCTACCACGCCGCCGAGCCGGCCCTGCACGCGTCTGGCTACATGGCCAGCCACTCGGCCCAGCTGCTCGATTCCAGGGTCGGCCAGCTTCAGGAGCAGCAGCACGCGCAGCAGCACCAGCATCAGCAGCACCAGCACCCGCACCAGCACCCGCAACAGCACCAGCAACAGCACCAGCAACAGCACCAGCACCAGCAGCACCAGCACCCGCACCAGCAAGCCCAGCACCATCAGCAACAGCAGCAGCAGCCATTGCCTCCGCCACCGCCGCCGCCGCCGCAACAACAACAGCAGCAGCAGCAGCCCGAGCAGCGCACGCCACGCCCACCCAACGCATGGATCCTCTACCGCTCGCAAAAGTTCCGCGAGCTGCAGCAGACAAAAGACCCGCAGGCGCGCTCGGCGAGCACGGGCAAGTCCAAATCGCAGGCCGAGATCTCGCGCATCATCTCGACCATGTGGCAGAGCGAGACGCCCGAGGTGAGGCGCGAGTTTGAGGCGCTGGCCGACGAAAAGAAGCTCGAGCACCAGCGCCTCTACCCGACCTACCGCTACCGCCCGCGCAAGCGCGTCAAGGACAACGGCAACCACAACAGCCGCTCGACGCTGCAGAGCCAGTCGGCATCCAGCGCCGCAGCGTCAGGCTCGCAGCAGGCGGCGGGCGCATCCCAAGGGTCGCACCGCATCGACAGCCTCGGGCGCCAGGCGGCGCGGCCGTATCAGTTTGCGCCCTACGACGTTCCCTCGAGGGACCCTCTGGCCAGGCAGGGCCAGCAGAGCTTCCGGAGGCTAGACTCTTCGCTCCTCGCGCCGCCGCTCACGGCCTCGGAAATTGGTGGCTGGGACAAGCGCAAGGCGACCGACGACATGCTTCGGAGGTCGGGCCACACCTTTGGCCAAGGTGGCGGGGAGCTGAGCTCGGAGCTCGGCGTCGGGCTCGTCGGCGGCTCCGGCACGTTTTCCTCGCCCGCCGTGCCATCGCAGCACCACCCGGCGCGGCTCTCGAACCCGGCGGGCCACCTGAGCAGCTCGCCGATGCCGTCCAACTACCTCCGCACCTCGAACGTCGACGGCGGTGGTGGCGGGGCGCACGGGTCCTTTGCCTATCCGCCACAGCACGCAGCGACGAGCGGCTCGCAGCATGGCCTGGTCGGATGGCAGGGCGAGGCGGCGTCGATGTCGCTGGGAGGCGACATGCAGCGCGACTTCCAGACGCCGTCTTCCCACTACTCGTCGTTTTCAGACGGCGACAGCGCCAAGGGCCGCAACAACGGCGGCGGCAGTGGCATGTTTTCGCGGGTCGACAGCGCCCGCACCTCGCCCTCGATGCACCTCGCGGGAATGCCGCAGGGCCACAGCGGCGGCAATGGCGGTGGCGGTGTTGGTGTCGGCGGCGCGGGAGAAGCCATCGCCGGACGATCTGGGCCTATCTTCAGCCCGGGCGACGGTCAGCACCAGCAGCTGCAGCCGACGAGCCACGACTACCACTCGGGCCACTCGCACCATGCCCACCAGCGCAACGCGTCGCGCGGCGCCGGGACGATGCAGGCTTCGGCGCTGCACGATGGCGGCCAGTTCCGCTACGGCGCGTCGTCGTCTTCGTCGACGTCGTCTGCCTCGAGCTTCATTTTCCACCAGCTGCCCTCGGACATCGGTGGTGGTGGTGGTGGTGGTGGTGGCGGCGGAGGCGGCGGCGGCGCTAGCGGCGGCGGCAGTGGAGGCTACGCTGCGGGATCGGCATCGGGGCTGGGGCAGGCGTACGAGGCCAACGGTCTGATGGGACGGAGCGACGACGACGTCAAGTCTTACCAGCAGGACGGCATCGACACCGCCGCGCAGCAGCAGCAGCAGCAGCAGCAGCAAAGCAGTCGTCGGGCGTTCTTCTTCAACGGCAGCAGCGGCGGTGGTGGTGCCAGCGGCAACCCCGGCAACAGCGGCAGCAGCCACGTGTCCTGAGGGGCCGAGGCCGCCCGTTGCGTTGCGCCAACCTCGAGCCGGCGCACCGATCGGCTGGATCCCGGTCGGTGGACCGCTGGGCATGATCGCAGGCCTGGCCCGGTGTGGCCTTGATCCCGTGCCCGGATGCCCCATTTTCCTCGTCGCCCGCCCGCTCGCTCTAATCGGCGTGGCTTCGCAGCGAGCGGCGCACCTATCGCGCTTATGCCCTCGCTCCCGTCGTCATCCCGATCTAACTTATACGAGAGAGGCCCGCCCTCGCCGTCGTGGTTCTGTAGCTGTCCCTCCCGTCACATTGCAAAGAATTCCAAGGTGCTCCCTGTGTTTGCATGTCCAGCCCGTGCCTGGCGGTGGCTGCAGCGATGATTGGTGGTGGCAGGAGGTGGTGGTTGGCAGAGGATGAAGACGAGGTCGAGGTGGCGGCGATGGTGGGTGCAGCGAGAAGAGGGTGGTCACGGCCGAGAGCGGGTCGAGTTAGCCTGGCGGGGCCGGGCTGGCGAGGTGAGGGCAGCAGGGCAGGCAGGTCAGCACGGGCCGCCTGCGGGCCTGGCCTGGCTGCTCCACTTCTCTCGACAGAGGCGGCGGCGGCATCAGCAAGCCTGCGAGCCTTTCTCTTTCCGCCACCACCACCACCGCCGCCATCGTCAACAGCGCCACCCAGCTTTCCCCTGCTCTCTCCTTCCACCTCTGACCCCACACACGCACGCACGCAAAGGCCAAGATGTTGATCAAAGTCAAGACGCTAACCGGTAAAGGTAGGTGCCCGCTCCCCCTCTCTTCTATTCGCCTTGGTCAGAGTCTAAACTCGACACGCCCTCCCTGCACTCGCACTGGACGATGCTCGGAACAGAGATCGAGCTCGACATCGAGCCGACGGACAAGATCCAGCGCATCAAGGAGCGCGTCGAGGAAAAGGAGGGCATCCCGCCCGCGCAGCAGAGGCTCATCTTTGGCGGCAAACAAATGTGAGTCGTCGTCCAGCCCGCCACCCTTCCTTGCGCACCGTCTACGCGGGCGGCGCAGTCAAGGAGCGAAAGGTGTGCTGGTAGCCGTACTGACGATGCTGTCCTCGCCTCTGGTGCCGTGGACCGCGATCGACAGGCACGACGAAAAGACGGCAAAGGACTTTGGCGTCGAAGGCGGCTCGGTCCTGCATGTACGTCCCTTGCTTCTCCCCTCTCCTCCTTCGTGCTCGTCTTGCTCGATCGCATCATCGCTGCTGAAGCCGGCTGACACCACACCCGACCTTCCTCGGCAACCCACCCCATTCCCATCTCGACAAACGCCCACGCTCGCCACAGCTGGTCCTCGCGCTCCGTGGCGGACACCTCTGAAGGACCGAACAGAACTCGCATCCTAATCTTCATTACACCATCCCCATGCCGTGCCATGCCGTTCCGTGTCGTCCTGCTCTTCTCTGCTCTGCTCTGCCCTGCCCCGCTCGGCACTCATCTGGTACCGTCCCGACCTGGGGCCGCCTTCACCCGCGCATCACGACGACACTCCAACCGCCGCCCCCGGTGGCCTTTGCGCCACCGCTCGACTTGGATCTCCGCGCCTCTTCTCTCGATCGTCTCGAGAATGTTCTGGACGGCGGGCCAGGCTCTTTGGCCTTCGCTTGGCGTCTCCCAATTCGCTCGCCTTCGACCTCGCCTTCACCTCTGCACATCGCCGCGCCGACTCGGCACACGCATGCACGCACACATCCGTGGTGGTTGATCGACTCTTTCTCTTTCTCATCCCTCTACGCCCCTATCTGATCTAGCTACAACGACACGACAAGGGGCAAGGCAAGGCCGGGGGCTAGGGGGCCTGGAGGACTCCCCTAGACGATGCGGGTCCGGTCCTTGAGCGCGACGGCGTTGCGGCCGGCGCCGACGCGCTTGAGGTAGTCGACGAGGTCATCGAGCGCCACGACGTCGCCCTGGCTCTGCCCCTCGGCCGAGTCCTTGCCCTTTTGCTGCTTGACCCGCACCGTTCTCCCCGACTCGGCGTTCCACTCGGCCGGCGCCAGCATCACGGCGTACGGGATCCCCTCCTTTTCCACGGCCGAAAACTGCGCCGGCAGCTTGGGCTTGTTCTTGTACATGAACTCGGCCTGCGGGCGAAACGGAAGGAGGAGGAGGGGAAACGGAGGTGAGTCATGGCCGTCGCTCGCTCGCGGCCGGCCGGCGCCACTCGGGCAACTCACCTTGATGCCGGCGTTCCAGAGGAGCTTGGCGACGCTCATGCGCTCCTTGAGCAGGCCGTCGCCGACGCTCATGACGTACACCTCGACGTCCTTTGAGCGGACGCCGGTGCGCTCGCCCTTTGCCTCGCGCTCGCGCAGCCGCTGCATCATGATGGCAAATACGCGCTCGACGCCAATCGACACGCCCACGCACGGCACCGCGTCGGGCTTCTTGCTGCCGCTAAACATGCCCACCAGGTTGTCGTACCGGCCGCCGGCGGCAATCGAGCCCACGCCCACCGTCGACTCGTCGACCTCGTCGTCGCCACCGCTCTTGGCCGCCGCCGCCGCCGCCTTCTTGGGCTTGTCGGCCTCGCCTCCCGCCGCCACCGCTGCCGACGGGGCACCACCGTCCTTGCCGGCAAAGCCCGGCGGCGCCGAGGCGGCGGTGACGGCCTCGTAGATGATGCCCGTGTAGTAGTCGAGGCCGCGGGCGAGGCTGAGGTCGAAGCTCATGCGGTCGGTGATGCCGTAGACGTCGAGGAAGTCAAAGAGGAGCGCCATGTCCTTGAGGCCCTGGGAGGCGGTCGGGTGGGCCGAGAGGACGGCGTCGTGCTCGAGGCGCTCGAGGAGGTCGCGGCCGCCGCGGTGCTTGACGTACTCTCCGATCTTGTCGGCGACGGCCTCGTCGAGGCCCTTGTCGACGACCATCTCGCGCCTCACCTCGGACCAGGGCGACTTGTCGAGCTTGTCGACGGCGCTCGAGATGGTGCGGATCTTGTCGGCGGGGACGCCGCAGACGTCAAAGATGCCGTCGAGGATCTTGCGGTGGTTGAGCTTGATGGTGAAGCCGTCGATGCCGAGGGCGTCGAGGGCCTCGACGAGGATGCAGAGGATCTCCGAGTCGGGGAGCATGGGGTCGTAGACGCCGGCGATGTCAAAGTCGCACTGGTAGAATTCGCGGAAGCGGCCCTTTGACATGGCGGGCTGGTCGCGGCGGTAGACCTTGGCGATGTGGTAGCGCTTGATGTTTCCGTACTCGGTCTGGTTCATGGCGACGAAGCGGGCAAAGGGGACGGTGAGGTCGTAGCGGAGGCTGCAGAGCTCGCCGCCCTGGTCCTGGAGGTCGTAGATGAGCTTGCTGTCCTCGCCGTACTTGCCCGAGAGGATCTCCTTGAGCTCGAAGACGGGCGTGTCGATGGTGACTGCGCCGTGGCTGCTAAAGACCTCCTCGATGGTGCTGAAGATCTTTTTGCGGAGCGACATGGCGAGGGGCTCCCAGTCGCGGGTGCCCTTTGGCGTCTTGAGCGTGTAGGCGACGGGTGCGGCGCCCTTGGACGACGACGACGAGGCTGCGGCGGATGCCGACTTGTTTGCGGATCCGCCCGCCTTTTTGCTCGACGACGAGACGGACCTGGGGTCCACGATGCCGAGGCCCTCGAGCTGCTTTTTGAGGGCGAGGAGGACGTCGACCTCAGCCTTGATGGCGGCCGACTCTGCCTTTTGCGACTTGAGCTGGCTGACCTTGGCGGCCTGCTCGTCTCGCGCCTTTTGGAGCGAGGCGATCTGCGCGGCCAGCTCGGGGGATGCTTGGGAGGACATGGCGGCGGCGGCGGCGATGGTGGTGCTGCTGCTGTTGTTGTGGGAGCGGCCACGGAGCAGGGGCGAGGTCGGGGTGGATAGGCTGCGGGCGACGGCAGGGGCGGCGGCGGCGGTGGTGGTGGTTGTGGAGGCGACGAGGCGGAGACGAGGTGCGATGCAAAGGAGCCGTGAGGGTGTGGCAGCTGCGATCATGTACCTCGCAGTCGTCGAGTAGAGTGAGGTGAAGGTGCGGGGTGGTGGTGGTGGTGGTGGTGGTGTTGGTAGTTGCGGTGGGTTGGAGGCTGCCTGCTTGCCTGCTGGCCCCCCCACGACGACCTGGCGGATGCTTCTCGAGGGAGGCCTTGGCTGCTGCCAGCCCGCCCAGCCCGCGATTTTTTTTGACTCGACGCGCGGCACCGAGCCATCTGGAGCGAGCGAGTCGCTGCTGCTGGCCAGAGGCTCGACAGCGCTGGCCCGTGGGCTGCCTGTCAAGACCTCCACGCCTTGTTGGCAGGGCGAGCTCGAGCCAGCCAGACCAACAGCCAGCCAGCCTCAGGATCAGCCCGCACACCCCACCCCCCACCTCCCCCTCAGCCACCTACCAGCACCATCGCCCCTGCTGCACCGCCACTCACCCTCTGCACCCACCACACACACTCTCGCGCGGTCACCTCGCAACCATGTCCTCCTTAGCCGCACCACCACCACCGCTCGCAGGACCGAGCTCATCATCGCACTCGACCTCGACCCCGTCCTCGTCTTCAGCACGTCCAGGGGCAAACGCAAGGCAGATCTCCGCCCTCGTCCGCCACATCCCCGCACTCACACTCCGCACAGACGACCTCTGCATCCATGCCTCGGCGAATCAGGGTCGGGAACAGACACAAGCCGCCGCCGCCGCCGCCACTCTCCTCGCCGACCTCGACGCCGCTTCGGCCCGCCTCGTGGCCTCTGGCATGGTCGTAGAGCACAGGTCCAGGCTGCAACGCCAGATCGACGCCGACATTGTGCGCACTAAAGCTGTCCTCGAGTCGGCCAGTAAGCAGCAGTCCCGCGGCGCAACATCATCAGCCACAGTGGCAGACAGCAGCCTCAAGAGGCCCAGATTCACCGACACCACGTTCGGCAGCAGCTCGTCAAGGCCCACCCAGCCTCCCCTCGATCAGTCCCGCGCAACACTCACCCCAGCCCCGTTCACCGCCGATGACGACGAAAAGGACGACGACGACGACGACGACGACGACCTGGAAGACGACTCGGAAGCAGAGTCGGAGCTAACCGACCTCGACGCCTACGACCTCGAGCCTCGCAAGCCCCTGGGTGGTCTCAAGCCCACCGCGCCCTCCCCTGCCGCACCCAAAAAGTGGTCCGAGGCGGCCGACCAAGACCAGGACGTAGAAGCAGAGCTCGACGAGTACGACCGCGCCGCCGCATCTCGCCGTCCCCGAGGGCCACAGGGCACCCCCACCACCTCGTCATCATCGCCCACCGGTCCGAACGCGCCCGCTACCGCATCGCCGCCGCCGCCGGCCAACCAGTCCGACACGATCCTCCAGTCGGACCGGGCAACGCACGAGGCGCTCTCGTCGGAGCTGCTCCGCATGGCCTCGGTGCTCAAGACCAACTCGCTCGCCTTTGCCGACGCCCTCGAGCGCGACCGCATGCTCGTCGAAAAGGCCGGCGACGGCCTCTCGTCCAACCTCGACCTCATGACGCGCACCCGCGGCCGCCTCGGCATCTACAGCAAAAAGGCAAGGAGCATGGGCTGGCTCACCCTCGGCTCCATCGCCGTCGTCGTCGTCAGCTGGGTCTTTATGTTTTTCGTCATCCGCCTCACCTAGCGCCTGGCCCCGATACTCGCTGCTGCTGCTACGGTCCTGTCCTGCCACTCTGCTGCTGTCACCTCTGCTTGAGTTCTCTTTGTCGTCATGGAAGCGACGACGACGAGGACGACGATGAAGACTACTCGACAAGCGGATCCCAGCTGCATGCGGCCCCTTCTTCGCCTTCCCCTCCCCCCTCCGCCTCTCCTAGCCCCGTTGTTTGCCCCTCGCGCTCACGCATCCAGCTGCGCCTTGGCCAGCTGAAACGCCTCGCGCACCTTGCGGCGGTGCTTGGCGTACTTCTTCTCCTTGACCGCCAGCAGCTCGTCGTCGACGCCCGCATCCTCAAACATCATCCGCAGCTTGGTCGTCGGCAGCCACACGTACTCGCGCACCTTGGCGCCGAAAAACTGCACCAGCACCAGCTTCGTCTCGCTCGCCGCAGCCGTCGCCCCTCCTTGGCCGTTGTTGCCGGCGCTTGCAGCCTCGGCGGCGTCGTCTGGTGAGCCTGCCTTTGTCGCCGTCGCCGAAGCGGAGACGGAAGACGAGGAGGTGGACGACGCCTGTCGCCGCATCGCACTGCTGCCCGACGCTGCGTCGGCCGGCGACGCCGCCTTTGAAGATGACGACGACGACGACGACACCGACGCCGCCGCCGAGGGCCCGAGGAGCAGCGCCTCCTGCCTCGCCTTTTCCTCGAGCACCCGATCCGGGATCTCTTGGTCCTCGTCGTCCTCGTCGACGACCTCGGCGGGAAAGTAGGGGAAGCCCTCCATCTTGGCCCACACCAGCGTGTGCGGCACGCACAGCGGGTCCTCGTTTGGCATCGCCCCGTCGCCGTCGTCGGCGGCGGCGGATCGACGCCTCGGCTTGCGCGCCGACTTGCGTGGTGCGGACGATGGCGGCGCCTTGACCCTGCTCTTGCGGCTCTTGAGCGCCCGCCTAGGCGTGACGCCGCCTTCCTCGTCGTCGTCGTCGCCATCGCCGAGGTCCGCTGCGTCGTCGGCTGTGGCTGCCGCTCCTTCGGCTTCGGTGGAGCTGTGGACAGGACCATCGACGGCATGACATTGTTGCGGGGCCGATCTCAGCGCACGTCCCGTCGCCTTGTCTGGCGAGGGGCTCGCCGCCTCGTCCCCTTCGTCTTCGCCCTCCGAAGACAGTGGAGAGCTTCGCCCGCTCGTGTCGGCCGTCGTCGCCTCGCCATCCGCATCGCCGAGCGGCGTCCGGCTAGGCGTAGCCCGCGGCCTCTCCTCGTCGCTGGGCTTGCCGTTGGTCGGGCCTGCGTCCGCTGCGTCCGCTGCGGTCGCCTCGGTCGCCTCGGTCGACGCTACGTCGTCCTCGCCCACGGTGGCTTCGACCTCGCCTTCGGTCGCGCCGGTCTGCTCAGACTCGACGGGCGCCTCGTCGGGATCTGCCTTCTTCCTGCCATCGCCCGAATCGAGCAGCCGAGCGCTGGCGCCGGCGAGACGGGTCGGATGCGTCTTGGCACGTGGTCGCTGCGGCGACGCAGTGGCGGCCGCGGTACCTGCTGCGCTCGCTGCGCTTGCCTGTGACGTGTTGGCCGAGGGCGCCGATGCCTTCCTCGGTCGCTTCAACGGCGGTTCCTCGGCAACGGCAGCCGACGACGACGAGGTGGGCGTCCGCGGGCCTCGATTCCGCTTGGCGCCCTCCTTGAGGATCCAGCCCGTGTTGAAGCGGAGGAACGAGTCGATGGCATCGACCTCTTCGGTCACGATCTCCTCGGGCTCACCGGGGATATGGCCTCGCTTTGGTCGTTTTGGCTTGCCGCCCGCTCCTTCGTCTTCGTGCGCCCCGGAAGCGGCCACTGCGTCGCTCGGGCGTTTGCCCTGGTCGTGCTCGTCACCGCTGTCGACTTTATCTTCCGTGGTCTTCCGCGCCGGCCGCGCCCGTGTCGCCCGCGACGACCGCTGCGTCGCGACCGCAGAGCGGGATGCGCGGGCTCGGGAGGCCTTTGGCGTCGCCGCCGCCGTCATCGTCGCATCGGTGGCCTCGGCCTTGGACATCGGG